AGATGCGATTGAACGAACCCGGCGACCTCAGTTTACCTTGTAAGGAAGCGATGAATCACGTCAAGATGGATAGATAAATCGGTCTGTAAGCTCGGGTGTGATTGTTGGACTAAATCGTTGCATGAGTAGGTTCAAGTTGTCAATTTAACCGTTCGTGAAACACGTGTACAGCAAGCAGAATAGAGCATATCAATGATCAATTTGAACCACACCCACTACTACTATGTGTTTCTTGTCGTGATCTTTGTTTACCAATTACTGATTATCCGTTCCACACGCGTTCGGCCCACCCACCCCCAACCCTTGACCGTTCCACACACACACACACACACACACACAGTCACTGCCTCACCTGAATCGGATCATATCCTGTCCGAGCACGAACGGGATTGGATGTTCACATGGCGACAGAACAATGACATCACTGCCCTGAGTGATCATCCGATTGCCGTGCGGTTCAACATGAGCCGATTTGGTAACATGCCACCACCTCTGTCGGACAAAACATTGCAAAAGTTACACGAGCACGGTGGATTAATATCCGACCTGGATGTACTTCGAGAGGTTTGCTATCCAGAATATGTAATACGCACGTGAGTTTAAACATGAGAAATCACTTTTGTGTGTGTGCGTGCGTGTGGGAGTGTACGTAAACGTACGTATATCTAAGTTATGCCTGCGATTATTTATTATTTACGGCGACCAGATTATGTCAAAGTATTGTGTGGTTTTGTGCACTTTGTCAAATTCGGGATCAAACTCCGATGCACACCACTGGCTACTTATTCCCTTCGCTTTGGGACTATGAGTCAACTTTTCTGAACCGACAAGTTTGTTAGGCCCAACAAGCCATTGAAACGATTTATTGTATGGGTTGGTTCCCATCCCGGAGAGAATGTATAGACTTCGAAGAAGTGATATTTAAATCAGATTAACTAACCGCAGGTGTGTTTCATGTTGAGACAACTTTGGTAATTCATCTAAAATTCTTAACTTTCCATGCACAGAGGTTTTACGTGTTTCCCTTAAAAGTTCACTGAAATTGATCAGTCTCTTCGACTTCTTCGGGAACAGAGCTATGAGACGTTTAGCGACCGGCAACCGGGTGATTCACTATAGATCGAAAACATACAGCGGAGCACAGAATTCAGCTGTCTGTCACTTATACTTTCATTCGGAAAAACTGTTTGAAACGGCAAAGCATGATCACAACTCAATCGCACCACACACACGCACACACTTCCTCGTCCCGGATTCCTCTAAAGTCACTGGCTTATTCCTGAACCCATTTGTTCATCTCCGAACGGAAAAGGGTTGGAAGAAAACGCGTTTACCATTTTACACAGTTAAACTGTTTTTTTTCGCTTTAGTAGTTTCAGATTTCAAATTTCAAATTGTGAGGCAATCCTCGCCTGTGAGGTGTCCTGACAGAGTAGCTTGAATTATTCGCATGTCCCCTGATCGCTCAACCCCCCCACCCCCCACCCCCATACGATCA